CTTTTATTTTTTCAACTGTTTATTGTTTATTGTATTAGCGGTTTGAAATTATATGTAACACAAATTGAAAATTTATTACAATACCAGAAAGCCGAAATACCTTTCCGATATCAGTGACAATGTATATTTACGTGTTTATTGTAGTGCATTTATCAGTCGTGTTTTAAATTTTTCTCGAATATTTAATTCCAACATACTTAATGTTTAATTATCTTATTTACGATTTACAATCGTTGATATAGCGAAGTTGCTATGTTTTGACAGACATAAATCGTCGGTTGATCTGAACATTTTTGTGTCACCTTGAGCTATTCATGACGTAAACAGACAAGACCATTCGGAAACAAGAAACGAGAACACATGAATGTGCACGTAAAGCCTAGTGTATTGAAATTGTATATTTTAAAAGTTAAAACAGCCATACAAATAAAACTGTTTATACGACCAGTTAATTGCTGAGATTACAAAGACGTTATATTCCGCTTGTCATGTGATATTTAAACAGATTAACCATACCGAATGATTTTGACTAGGGATGTTAAATTGGCCCAATTACTGATAGAGTAATAGTATTCGTTACTATTGATCTTCAAACGTGTGGAATTAATGGTTCGAGATTGTGCTGGCTATACGTATTCATGGATGTCACGAAAGACGTAAATAACATTATTTAAAAGTATGTCAGAAAATCACACACAATAAGTATACTAAACGTGGATAATATTTTATTTTTAATGTGTATTGAACTGAAATACCTGTGGTCTGTTCCTTTACTAGAATCCCTTAATGTTCCATTTCATACTGGACTTATTTATGGTTCAACACCGACCCTGTACTGGACTTATTCAATGTCTCACCTACACTCAGAACTGGACTTATTCAATGTCTCACTTTGATCCTGTACTGGACTTATTCAATGTCTCACATTGACCCTGTACTGGACTTATCCAATGTCTCACATTGACCCTGTACTGGACTTATCCAATGTCTCACATTGACCCTGTACTGGACTTATTCAATGTCTCACATTGACCCTGTACTGGACTTATCCAATGTCTCACATTGACCCTGTACTGGACTTATCCAATGTCTCACATTGACCCTGTACTGGACTTATCCAATGTCTCACATTGACCCTGTACTGGACTTATCCAATGTCTCACATTGATCCTGTACTAGATATCCAATGTTTCACATTGACCCTGTACTGGACTTATCCAATGTCTCACATTGACCCTGTACTGGACTTATCCAATGTCTCACATTGACCCTGTACTGTCTCACATTGACCCTGTACTGGACTTATTCAATGTCTCACTTTAACCTTGAACTGGACTTATTCAATGTTTCACACTGACACTGTATTGTCCATATTTCAGATTTTAAACCTACTCAGTACTTGACCTTATACAATTTTTCACATCGCCCATGTACTGAACATATCCAAGGTGTCATGTCGACCCTGTACTGGACATTCATGATTTCACAGTGACCCTGTATTTCAGGCTACACTCTGATTCTATATAGGACTTATTTCAGGTTACGCTCTGACTCTATATAGGACTTATTTCAGGTTACGCTCTGACTCTATATAGGACTTATTTCAGGTTACGCTCTGACTCTGTATTGGACTTATTTCAGGTTTCACACTGACTCTATATAGGACTTATTTCATGTTACACACTGACTCTATATTGGACTTATTTCAGGTTTCACACTGACTCTCTACTGACTCTCTGCTGGATCTTATAACATGTTTCACCTCGCCCTGGTAGTGAATTATCATAATATGACTTTTGTCTTTGTGATATATGTTTACCCACCCAGTGTTTCTCTGGACACCAATCATTGTAGGGATTCTATATTTCTCTTTCCCATCTCTCCACCTGTCACCCTACGATTCTGAGATCTATGGTATTGATCAGTCAGTCCAGACCAATATATGTTATCATACATCAGTACACATAGTTATTTCACAACGAGAAAAACAAAATTAACTTCTGGTTTGTCGAGTCGTAATGAAAAGTCACGATTTTGAAACCAATCTTCCAGAAATGAGAAACAAATGAAGTTGTAAATATTCTGTTTTGAAAAATAATTTCACCTGGGATCTGATAATTAAAATACAATTATATTACGTTTTAATTTAATATATATTTTTTTGACCAAAAATCAATCACCAGATCGATTATTGGTAATTACAAAGTTATATTGAGTTTTTTTTCTACAATGACGTATGTTTGAAATACCAAATACTTTTTCTATGTGTAGTATGTAAATCAATAAACAGAATCAATCAAAGAACAAAGATAAAAATCTATCCAAACTTATTTAGTCAATACTTTCGTGTACTTTGTCATGCTTTGTTACCAGATACAATAACATAAGCGACCCATTCAATTTCTCTCTGTCAGTTTTAATCTCATCTACGTACATGTATACTTTTTATCATAAAATCGCTTATGTCGTTAAAAACAAAACGAAATAACTAACTTCAAGAGTGTTTGTATCACTGTTTGTTAATAGATTATCGTTTTCATAAACAAATATATATGTAACTATAAAGATTTGGTTTAGTAAAACCAAACCTGAGTATATGGTCATCTCTATGTAAAGATTACATGTTCGTAATCATTGTCTATAAAAGTCCCATTTCTCTGTTCACTTCATAGACAGTTTTACTGTATATTTACACACATAGCTTACACATAATATTTACGTTATCATTAGAAGAGGTTTTGGCTGTGAATGTATAGGTTATACCTTGTTACTGACCATTACATCGCTACTCCACTATTTGGGGACCAATAGCGTGTAAAACTACAATACGGGTTTTTTTCTGCTACATGAAGGTGCAGAAGACCACGAGTTCTAAGCTCGAGGTGGCCATGAGTCAAACAATCTACTTCTCAACTAAAAACTTCACAAAGCAATCAGTTAACACATTTGTCCAAGCACGTAACTCACAATGAAATAAAACGCGGAGAAAACACACAAAGACAAAAGATATTGTAGAAACAATACGCAATACAATGATGAGGTAAAGTCAAACTCAAAGCACAATAATAAGTTTCACCCAATCACAAAATACAAAAACAATGAAGTATTATCAAGGACCAAAACATAACAATGAGGTATAGTCAAGACCAAAACAACAATGTCGATCGTAGTTACACAGAATTTTATTTTTTTTAATCATATTTTAACTAATCATTCCGCAAACTATTAAATACAATTCTTTGTTAATTTGTCATATATTTAATAAAGATTTTACATTAAAATATGTTAAGAAATTAGTGGACAAGTAATCAGATGATACATCCTAACTATATAAAAACAAGATCTCCGGGAGATGGCATTTCAAGGGTACAAAAACGACAAGAATATACCAATATGCTTAAATTACCTTAGTTCAAAATCAAATTTGTTGAAACAATGGCAAAATATTTTCAATAGAAAGATTTACAAGAAGACACTTGAAAAAGCAAAATGGAATAAGACCAAGTTTCCCAGAAGGGTAAGCGTCTTCTGCTTTATCGGTATCGCCCGTCATGTAAGTTGGTCAACTCAAGTACATGTACAATGTATGTTTATCAGATGAAAGCCACGTTTACATCTAGTATCGAACATCTTGGTTCATGATGGCGAACATACAGCTTATCCATAATCTTCATCAACATCAACCTGCATCTCTCTTAACAGTACTTCAGTTGAAATCTTCACGCTTATCATACACATTATCGAAAATATTGTCTTTGTTTAAAAATATTTAGCTAAATGGAGAGATATTTCATCCTGTTTGGAGCAAACATTTCTAGTTCCTAATATTTTTATCAGCATAAATAATGAGAATACAAGAAATACGAACATTTGTATGTTTTTTTTAGGTTATAGAACCGTGACACAAGAAATCAGTTAGGATTATATTTTTAAACTTAAGTTTAATAAGAGTACACGCTGGCTCATATGCAATAATTGTATACTAAAAACATTCCTTCGCCATGTGCTTTGAATTAAGATTCTAACTTGTCGTTGCTTTCGTTTTGTTCTAGACAAAGTACCCTGCTTTGACCGAAACATATCCTTGTAGGTAGTAATAGATACCCTGATTGATAGGTTTTAAAACCTTGAAGACAATATCATAAGCGTTCGTTACTTACGGATCAATATTTGCTAGCTTTTCTAGTAATGTTCCTGAGAATTATTAAAGCCATTTAACTCCTATACTTCCTCAGCTGCTAAGATGGACTCTGCCACTGATTGATCTGGTTGTTTCAACACTGGTCTAAAGGGGGGTAGAAGGTTTAATTTACTCCGGTAGAGTCGAATGATTGGATCTCTGATAAGGAGCGCTATTTACTATATTTATGTGAGAGTCTGATGGTCATAAGCATTTACTTCTTATTGACTTTATCAGTGGTCAGCGGTCAAACGAGGTCAATGTTTTTCATCATATCGACCTTGTGCTAGTTAAAATCCCAGCCGCAAAGTTTCAATTCTTTATGGGGGACGATGTCATAGTTAAATGCGATCTTTAACTGCACTGCCAGGATTTTTAGTATAACAGCGATCATCTCTAGCCAGAACGATGGTAAGATAAGATTTTTTAGTATTATTTATAACACTTAATCATTCATCAATGATCTGCTTGTGATACATTATTGACACTGCCTAGAAATGCTCGTTTCTTTCTCGGTTTATAATATAAAATTAACTGTGTAAATATCTTCATGTTATAGTATTTACTGTGAAGATCTACAATGTAAAAACACGTGCTACATGTAAAATTATCCTTTTATTTTCTTAATGACACAAATATACCATTTACCAATGAGACATGTTAATACTAATGATAGCAATATAAAGATATTGTGTGAAAATAGTGTCTCCATTGATCGTATTAATATACTGAATAGTATTGTACTATTAACGTATTAATGTATATTGTATGGTACTGTATTGTATCGGAGCCTGAGATATAGTTACTACACAAAGGTAACATGGCTTACAGCCCACTGGTAAACTTTAACAAAGAAAGATTTATATATCGTATGTTTAGTTGACTCATTGGTGAAATCATATGGTTAAAATTATATATTCCCATTTTGACACCAAATAATGAAATTTGTGTGTGGTGAATAAACTCTATAAACGGCATTATATGGTTATTCGTGGTATAGTTATATACATAACATAATAATACCTTGTGTGATAAATGGCTACTACAACAGATATTTAATCATACACACTATATTTATTAACTTACATATCCTATGTCACCACAGATTGTATAACATTTTGATTACACGTCCAAATACTAAATGATAAAAAATAACTCTTTATTAGAGAAAATGTTCAAACTTGTGTATAATTGTTTGAGTTTACTTAATAATTCCTATGTAAACAGACAAAACACTCGAAAACATTTCAAAGTGTTTATAATTGTAGGGCCTGGATGGTACACAAAAGACTTCAGCTGTCAGGTTTCAGGTTGATTGGTGACGTGATGAATACATTCAATATAATTGATAATATGGCTTAACGAATACCACTACAAAGTCTTAGTACCTTACTACGGGATCAGACAGAGCACACGCTACTTGTCGAGTCTGCATATCCAAACAATATCATTAATGCATAAGGAACATTCTATAACAGTAACCCGATTAGACGCGACGGGGACATGATTATCACTTAATCTTGACGCAGCAAGTCGGTCAAAACACAGTGGCGTATGATTGTAAACTCAAAAAACAAACTAAGATTTAAGAACAGAAGTCAGTTCTTCTCATCAAACTCCTGGTCCTGCTGCTGCTACTCCTCCTCATCTTCCTCCTTCTTTCTTTTTTAGCGATCTTTCACAGAAATGCTTAACCGGACTCTATTTAAGGCCGTACAGTTTTAGATATTCCCTTGTGATTTAACAGTGTTTGATCTTTATCTTTAACTTTCAGGGGAACAAAATGGATACCGAGGGAGAGGTAGAAGTGCCTGATGGATCACAAATAGCAGACAACCAGCATGGTGTAGGGCAATATATAGAAACAGGCAGTTTCAAATCACCTGTTGCCTCTAGGGAGAGCTCAAACATAGACCAGAATCATATTAGTGAAATTCAACAATCACCGGAACCGGAAGTGGATACAAAAACGCCAGAAACATTAGCGAAAGGGAAGCGAGAGGCAACAAACGTTCAGATTGGAAAAAGAAGTGCTACTCTTTTTCTTAGTTCTCATTCGTTGAAAGCAACCTCAAAACCTAAGCAGGGTATCACAACGAAAACTCCACCGCCTGCATCTAGAACATCATCAAACTTAACACAAACGTCTAGTCAAAGGAAACAGAACATTACAAATAGCATTCCCCCAAATGAACTTCTTCAGCTCAGAGTTAAAAAGGAGTTTACCTTCACTGGATATGACATAATGTCTGATGGTACGTATTTATTTATCAAAATTGCTCTTCCGGTTGTATATTGAATAAAACAGTTGGAATGCTAATTGATCGAAAGAACAAAGGCACTCCATAGCGTGAGGATTATATTTCCAAAAATATAGAAAGGGGTGGAATATAATAAATGTATTGTCGTGGTATAAACATCTATCATCAATTGTTTTCTCATCGCGTTTTCGATTGCCGGTAGAAGTAACGCAAATCCAATCATTATATTTCTAGTGGAACCTGTTCCTGTGATTCCCGAGGAGGAACAGACCTCTCACGCAATTCGCCAGATGTACACAGATTCATGTAGACAAGTAGGAGTCATCCCAGTTCGCTCTCTCACACAACAATTATGTAGTCCTGTTGTCCAACTGCGGTGTCGCTCCCTCGGCCCCAAAGGTGCTGATGCTCTAGCCATAGCTTTGGTCGTGAGTATGACTGCTCGCTTATTGTAAAATAAAATAAAAATACATATTTTCAGTAAACTCTTTCAAATTCGATATAAAACATTCCTACATTACCTGTCTAACATGATAAACACAAGTATATTTAAGTGATTCTCTCTCTAATTCTTTACTGCTACCATGATGTCGAAATTCCTAGGCAAATGCAAGACGTATTGGATAAGTTACCTGTTTTTTTTAAACTTCCATGCTTGCAGATATCCTGTACATGTGCAGTCAACAAGAGCAATGACTGATTACATTCATGTGTAGTGTCAATCTATGATATAACTTTGCTTTGTATCACACTCAATTGATCACTGTCCATGCATTGTAATTAGACTGTGAATTTATAATTTATAATTAATGAACTTCTGGACACTGCTCAAGTAATGTCCAGACCATTATAAGCTATGTCCTTACTTATCATAGACAACTATGAAGCGTGTCTGTAATACTTCAACCTTTCATTTCATATTAGCATAATCCGACAGTGACTAGTCTTGATTTAGAAGACAACGGAATTGGATCTGAAGGAGCGAAAAGCCTTGCTCAGATGCTCGAAGTGAATCATAATATTACAGACGTTGTAAGTCGCCATTATATAATACATCTATAAAGAGGACATAAGGTGTTTTTTACAGAATAATTTTATATAATGCATTCCGGGACTTGTTAATATCTGGGTTAATTTGGGGAAAAAATCTATTTTTCCTGACTGTTCTCGCTTTGGTATTGTGTTTTATCACAAACTCTGTTATCCAGTGAATTCGCCCATGTTGGATTTTTTTGTTCATATGTCACGAGTGTAATGTGCCCTGCAGCGGTTTTCATTTGCTGCACCACTCATACATCGATCGTCGTATTTCTACAATGACGTTACATCGTTAATTGATATGGTAAAATAGAATGGTTGCATCTGTTTGATTTTGTCCTTCACATTTTTATTTGAAAATTTCGTCTCGAAGTTTTATATTTTTCCCACCAAAGCTCGCAAAAATTTATAATTCTAAGGTTCGTTTAATAAAATCTCACACGAAATGAAAAAGATCTGACTATATTTAAATATGACGTCACACAAAGGGCACACGTATTTGTAATCTCAAAACCAGACATTTGAAACTTATTCAATCTTTTCTGTTATGTATATGATAATATCTTATCGGAGTCTTGAAGCTAAATGTTTATATGTACCTACCTTTCAGTGTTTAGCAGAGAATTTAGTATTAAAGGAAGGATTATGTGCAATTACTGATATGATGAAGAACAACTTTTACATACAGTCTTTAGATCTGACAGGTAGGTGATTAATCATTAATATTACATTTACTGATAATAATCCAAGGTCGTATTCCACCAGATTAAGAAAAAATACTTCTGATGTTTTAAAAAGAGATTCAGAAAAAGACAATAAACTGTATTATGAATATATGAAGTAATGAAAGAAATAAGGTTCTCTTTTCTTAAAAGGAAAAAAATGACATACATTAGCTGGCTTCCTTAACCTAAAAGCACAATAAAAATGTGAACCTAATTACCGATAGAAAAACATGTTTGGATGAAGAAACTTCCATCTAATAAAAAAGAGAAAAGCCGGATTCATTTAAAGCAGTGATAGTTACATTTGTATTAAAGCTTTGAGTGATTTTTTATTTATATTCATAGTTGTTTTATCTGTTTTATATAACTATGTGCTGAATTGATGTGGCTTTTTATAAACCATTCAGGGAGTGGATTCGTAGATAGTGATGCTTACACAGTAGCAGACTTACTAGAAGTAAGTATGATTTGACAAGTTTTGCATTATTAGTGTGAACAAACAGCAATATTGTTCACACTGATCATTCAAAAACACTAGGCAAGTTATGCTTTCGTTATACCGTTTCTTGAGAAGTGTAAATGATTTTGCAAAATGCATCATTTGTCCATTCATCCTTTCGAAAACTGAATCCAGAATTATCTTTTTGGTAAGTTTAAGATATTCTTTTAATTCATTAATTAAACTATAATGATTTTTGACAAGTATTTTAAAATTTATAAGTAAATGCGTACAATTCGTTGCTTGGCTTTTAATTCGTTCGAATAATGACACGGGTCAGATCAAACACAATTACTTGACGTTGTTCTAAAATTATCTGATATATGAAAATGATGAAATATATTGAATTAAAGGACTAGTGCCTTTTATTATCCATGTAACATTCTGTTTTTGGAATTATATCAAACTTATGAACGTGACATTGCTTTGAATTTTCTTGCAGAACAATAAGATTCTACGGGAGTTGATACTTAGTCATAATCAATTTGGTGAAAAAGGTGGATACGTTCTTGCTCAAGCTTTAGGTAGGTAGATATTATGTATAAACACTCCTACTTAAACCTTGGTCAACCTAGTATCGTGGCACGTCTCTCTTTGTCAGAGATAAAAAGATATTCCTGAATTTTTTCTTAATGTGTAACTTATAATTTTGTGAATTTATCACGATGTTCTTGTTGTATTGTACTTGTTTTTATTATAGCCCAGAATGATACATTGCGGATCATCGATCTGAGTTGGAACCATATCAGAGGAGATGGGTCAAAATCTATAGCTGCCTGTCTACAGGTAGGGAACACTTTAAGACAGACATGCGGGATATTACTGTGATATACTCGTAATATCTTTTCAGGCAACAAGCTTTGATATTGTATCGTTGGTGCCTCAGTTTTCTTAATTATGAATATTTGTCAATGTAGTTTGCTTTTTATATCATGATATGGTTTTACATTTTTATTAGCACATATGATAACTTCGTCAAGGATAGATACCTCTTGTGCATTTGTATATCAGTTTTATATATAAGTTAATGTGATCTCATTGAGAAATGTTCTGTTTCTTTGTGCGATATGACGTTAGGCGTGTTTGATGCTCATTAGTTTGCCTGTGGGTTCTATTGTTGTATAAGTAGTTATCAGTTGAGAACCTGACATTACTTACCTTGATTGACCAAGGTTTATATGGCGGTGGACGTCAATGAAGCATATTTTGCCCTAGTTCTATTGAATTTGAGTTTGATTATGTTAATATTTTGGAATTTTCTTTTCTTTAACCAATAAAGTAATTTGTTTTCCTAAATACACACACTATCCAAGACGGTGTCTCAAAACCATCGTCATGTGATTAAAACGTATTATTGTAATGACATTCTTTCATTTCATTATTACAAAAGAAAAACATAGGTCTAAGGAAGCTGGATATTTCTTGGAACGGATTTACGGCAGGTGATTGTGCTATATTAGGGGTGACACTTAAAGAAAACACTACCCTGAAGGAATTAGATTTATCTAACAATCATTTAGGGGACACTGCCATCGGCTTCCTCATGAAAGGGGTTCAGAAAAGTGATGGACTAGAAATCCTCAGAGTAAGTAATCGTCTAGCTTATTGGTCTACTTTAATACAGGGTATTGATGGATGTATAGACACACTAATCATAATTAATAAATAGGATATGTTACAAATCTGTTAGTATTATTAATCAAATTATCTAATTACAAAGGAGATTAATTAGTCATGTACCAAAGATGTTGGATCACAAACAAAGACAGGTTAATAAGGTTTGTATATGTGTATCGTTATGATACAATGATTTGGAAATATACTTGCTCATCTGCAGAATAATGTCTACAAAAGGAAACTTTAATGTCCCTGCATTGTATTTCAAATGATTTTATTTTAATGTTATACAGTACAACACACAAAGCAATGACAATTCGTTTTAATTCAAGATATCTATCTTTGTGCTTTGTCGATACGTCAAACTTGACTGGTAGGATGCTGTATTTATTTTCTGAAAGTAATGAAAAACAACATAAAATTACAAAAATTAAACATGTGATTTTTAATGACCATTATTAGGGTAATTTATGTAAACTTAATAAGTTTTTCTATGTCATTTCTTATTCAAAAATACACATGATAGATTTTCTCTTATATGTTAAAATGTCCTCCCGAATATATTCTTTGATGTTCCTAATGCAAAATTACATCTAGCGAATATTTGTTTCAGATTGGAGGAAATCTTATCATTCCAAAAATGGCACTGGTGATTTTGAAGGCAATAGAGCAATCAGAATCATGCCGAGTTCATACATTAGATATGGGGGTAAGTTAGCATTACTATGAAGTGATGGAAGCCCTGATCTATAACTATTTGATCTATGCATTCCAAATAGTAATCATTTTATTGTTTTATTTCAGTCATTTAATTCTTTTTTGAAAAAAACTGGAGACTGGGAATGAAAGATGAAAGGATCTTAACGAAGATGAATATTTCATTCTAATCATAGATCCAAAATTTAATTTAAATAAAACAAATTATAAAAAAAACAAATTAAAACAAAATATTTGGAACTTTATACCCTATTACTTCAATGATAATATCCCGGTATTTGTTGATAAAAGTAGCATCTAAGTAGGCGTAGTGATATTTCATTCCCTTTGGTGTCTGTCGAAGAAAGTGGAATGAAAGAACCAATAGTGACGACAGTTTTTTTTCTTCTAGAAACACAAGCAACACAGGTTAAACACATTTTATGATGCTTGTTGTATTTACTGTCTGGTATATCGAATAGAACACATCAGCACAGACTTATATTCAAATCAAATGTTTTCTACGGAACTCACAGCGTTATCACGTTATTGTGTTGTCATTTTTATGCCTGTTCACTTTTTCTCCCTGGTGAACATATATTAACATTCTGATATTTTTGCTAAACAAGAACATTTCCTGGAATTTTGAAATTTTATATGAAGGACACAGAGGTAGATGAAGAATTCTTCTCCATTGCTGACGAGCTACAAGCGAAGGGATCGTTCGAGGTTGCACACGGCCCTGTTATAAAGCGGAGGGACCTAAAGGCCACTGCCGTCGATGGCATAGATGGCAACATGGACGCTGTGTATGAACTGTTTAAGTACATGAGCGACAACAATTATCGTGTGATAGATCTTATGAAATGGTTAGATAAGGATAACAGTATGAGTATCAGTCGGGATGAATTCAAGAAAGGGATGATTGTAAGTATTGTTTTAGGAGAACCTTCACATATGTCTAGGCTGACATTCTCGGCGATTTTCACCTTTAACGACGCAAGATTCACTGTCTTTTCACTTTGTGTTTTATCTTTCCTGATATCCTGATGCTGTCTTTTCGTTTTGCTTTCATGTCTTTCTGATTCACGCCATTGCTATTAGGTTACATGCCTTTTTCTATCTCTCTATCTCTTCTACTTGCTTTACCTTACTGTTCCTTTACATTCAATTTCCTTAGAAAAGTGTTTATCTAGAGTGGTTAAAGTAAATTTCATTTCTTAGCCACTTTAAATTTTGTAAAAAATATTGAATTTAGAGTATTATAAAGAAGTTTGCTTTTTGTTCAAATTTTCCCTGCTGAATCAAAGGTTTGAAGTTATGAGGTCGTATTTTCCAATGAAATCAATAAAGATACTTTTTGGTTTCTGTTTTAATTGTATTTCTAAGATGTCTTTTTATCGATTTTACTCCATCCTGTAAAATAGCAATTTTTTTTTAAAATAATTATCGAAAACAACTTGTAGAGTATATGTCGACTAAATTCAACGTTTTTGTCACTTCGAACTGCTCTCACTTAAAATCTGGATTTTAAATCTTTTACTTTAACGTTAAATTTGTCGCCAATGAATAAGTTGTACTTTTCAGGAATCACCAACTAAATTTCTATTTTGTCATATTTTGATCTGATTTTATTGAATTTAGATTATAATTATAATGTCGTCATATTGGGTTTTTTTTTTTGTTGTTTTTTGTCTCTCTTAAACTGGCCAAACTTTAAGTCTTTATGTATCTGTCTTCGGTGATTACATATTAACGATATGTTGATTAGACTCCCTGTTATCCTTATTCCAGACTGCGGAGGTTCCTTTAACTGAACACCAGCTAGACATCCTTCTCGATAAACTGGACGTGGACGGTGACGGAGAAGTAGACTTTAAGTAAGTTTGTTCTTACGATGCACAATATTATGTTATTTCCCCAATTTGAATAATGATGTAAAAAAAACTATTTTCACATCCGTATCGTAGCAGTGACTTAATTTTTATTTTTTTATTATATGATTCACTTAAAAACAAGTAGTCAGATTGATTTCGTCCATAGCAAAGATACATTAAACTTTTTAATAAACAATACCGATTCTCTGTTCGCGAACAATGTGGATTCTGAAATCACAAAGGTTAATGCTCTCTTTATACTCTATGGCTATAATTCAAGGTTCTATCTTCATACTGAGCATTGCATATACCGTCATCCATTTATGTATTATCAAATTTAAACTTTGCGTGATAAGGAATCTTGAACGATTATTGGGTAAGTACAACATGCATATGGAGCTTATTACATAGTGTGTGTTTTTAGGTATTGATTGCTAAATGTAATTCATCGGCACATGAAAACATTATAATGTGCTTGCTGTTCAGAGCCAAGGGTAATTTTTATAATCATTTTAACATCAGTTGTTAAAAGAATTAACACCTCATTGCAAAAAATGCAGAATAGCGCTATTTTGTAATTAAAAAGACACGTTATTCTCACCAGTCGTTTGGAGTGGTCTTGTTACAGGATGTTATAAACCGGAATATCGGTTTATCGGCTAGCTATGGTGTTTGTAATGTTTGTGGACGGTCGCCATTTTTTTAGCGGATCGCTTATGTTGGTAGTGTTTAGATACCTGTAGTATTGGTTGGGGAATTGCTAATGTTTTAAGTATATCGAGGTAAGTAAATCGCTAATGATGGTAGTGTTTGGATTCCAGTCGTAATGATTGGTGAATTGCTAATGTTTGTAGTGTTTTGAGGTAAGTAAATCGCTATTGTTTGCAGAGCTTGGCTACGGATTGTATTTGTAAATGAATTGCTAATATTTGTAGTGCTTGCAGTTTCATACAATTGCAAAAAATGATCAGAGGTTATGTGGCTTTTAAAGGTACATTTGCGGAATATTAATATTCAGTATTGATTTTTTTCACGTCATAATATGATATCTCATTGTGACATTGGACCAATATAAGCCGAGTATGTTTTACAAAGGATTGGGAATATTTCATACACTCTGAACAACCTGTATAATAAGGCATAACGAGTTAACTGGTATTTTGACTAACATATTTCAAATTCATAATTGTCATCACGAACTTTATTATCGGTCTCAATTTCTTCTGTATACGCTGTTTCCATATGCAATAGATACGGTTTAGAAAAGAAGTAATTACGCCCGCAGCAATTTACGGAACTTAAATATGAAATGATTACCACGATTTCATTTTAGTAAGCGTTATTTACAAAATATTCAGAAAAGCAAAATTATCGATTTAAAATGCATGTGGATTATCTGAGCTTTTTTGGTTATTTTGATATATATTTGTGACTTTGTTTTGTTTACAGAGAACTGTTGCTAGGGGAACGAATGTTCAGGAGAAAAATGCGTCAAAAGAAAGAGAGATTGCGGTCAACGAAGGAAAAAGCTGCTGACTTAAGAAAAATTGTTCTGGCGGCGATCAACGAGAAACCATAGTTATATTATTGAGACGATCACTACAAATTACCTATATGTGTGTCTCTTTGTTCATTGGAATACATTACTAATGCGGGAATCGCCATTTTCTGATTTCGTTACCCATACTGAGATACCCAGGAAACACAACTCGTATCATTGTTCATGAAATAGATTCACTTTCTAGATATTGTCTACTAATCGACGCTAATCGTAATAAAAATTAACATACAGAAATATGCGCGAAGCTAATCTTTCATGAAGACGGGACAATGACAAGAGTCTTCATAGGAAATATCACAATGATATTCATGATAATAACTACGCATTGTGCCAAATGTTTTTCTTGTATCGACTACAATACTCCTTGTGTCATTTCATATCGTTTTGGATCGAACGGAGGTAGTTCAGCATGTGTATATGTATATAAAATTTGATAGTTGGTATAATACAATATGTATATTGAACAGTGAAAGTTGAATAGTGGTTATCTCCCTTAAACCGAAAACTGAAAAATTTGTTAATATTCCGTGGGGAAATGGAGCTGATATTAGACACCAATTGCAAATGGCGGAAACATTAAAAGTGGTTTCAATGTGTAAAAAGGTACCAGACAAACATTGTTTGTAGAAGCCGAGAAGGAACTTGCAGATATGTGAGCATCCTATCAACAGATCGTATAGGCCAATTAGACATCTTAATATAAAAATGTGATAAAAATCCAATAATATTTATTTCAGTGTTATACCAATATATTGTTGTTTTCATGATGGTGCTCATTGTCAACGAAAAATAAATATTGTATCATATTTTTTTTATGCGTCATTGCATTATTATTTTATGTTAACATATGTTGATTAATTTTCAAAGTGTCACATCATGAATATATTAAAATATAACGTTATACTGCAATTTTTTTTCTACAAAATCATTTTAAAACTTCATACGACGGAAATATATACAAATGACAAGGACGGTGGCATTTTCAGATTATGTTCAAATCAATCATTTTCTGTTATTGATCAAAGATATGTCGTTGTTATTATTCAATAATAATATATCAGAAGCCAATTCAATGGTATTGGTATATGATATTGGATACGGATTCCTGCTAAGGATTGGTTGCCGTATAAAAAATATGAATATATTTCTAATACTAACTTTATCTAAACGCATTGCGTTTCTGGTAGATCTGAAATGGTTTTAGTCATACTAAAATCATCGTTCAGAAATGATGAACGGCAGTACAGATACATTGCTATGAACTAAACCGGAATGTATTTCGTGACAAGTACGTTTAAAGCCAAAGTCATAACAGAATGTATGTCGGTATAATATTACAAATTTGACCTTGACATTTGACCTGATGACATGTGATACGATGGTTCCTACTTTGGTTTTAGTCAACTATGCCTCACTATTTTACATTTTGTAATAAGTGAATGATTAGATATTCTTATATAATACATTTCTGCTTTATATTGACCATCTATTTATATCTTGACCTTTGACTATTTTACATTTTGTAATAAGTGAAATTAAAATCATTCCCATGATTTCCTTCATAGATGCTGGATTCTTATATAATTAATATAAAACATCAAATAATTGTTTCGAAATGGTATTTAATGTAAATGAATTATGTTGTATACATTTAAATAAATAGCTTGGCAAACAACTGGAAAATATAAATCAAGAAAGATTCCCAGTTCACACTCTGTGGAAACATCCCACAGGTAACATGCGAAAACGTTTAACGAAATGCAAACCCACAACCCTTCTGTGTGAGTAGCTGTAACTTTTATTAACACATCTCTTTATTTCTAAGAGTAATTTTTTTGGGTTCGGTTCAATCCAAGCACTTTCCATAATAACATAAGCCAGGATATGAGAATAATTACAGGTTTATTCATTTAAGTCACACAATATGAGGATCTGGATACCAAGACTTCAAGATCAACTTCACAAAATATTCTTTACATCTCTTACTAAAACTAAACAGGGGACTGGTAATTGTTATCCAATAGTAGGCAGCAATTTATCTTTAAATAACACGTATCTATGTAAATATCTATCGATCAATTGAAATACTTAATAGCTATAATAAAGAAATATAATCTCCATATATGGAGAAAACGTTTCCGTTTCGGCTAAATGGCGTGTCCATATACGGAGACGGGTCTTCATATTCAGCACTGGACATCATTCGAAAGAAGGTAGAGCTACGACTTAACATTTATACGAGTTGTCTCCCTTGGTCCAGTCGGAATCAGTTATTGGGAGCAATGAGTCAGTTAGAGGTTATTTAAGTTCGACAGCTCGGTTCGCTTACCATTTATGTCTGGTCAAGGAACTAGTCAGCGTTCAGATGAGATGTGATTTACCGTTTGCTTGAATGCTTTATATCACCAGCGTCGTTGGTAACCCACAGGTACACGGGCAAGTCAATCACGCAGCTTGTTACAAAGCGCGTGCGGTTTCCTCGAACGTCAACAACAAGAAGTCGTAGACGAACAAGCATGTCTGCTCCGCAAATGCCAGTTCTAAGATTAAATATGACATTTCATGATGTGCTATTGGGCCGACATATCTCAGGTACAGTACTGTTCTCTAACTTCGATATCGTGAGTAATCAAATGATAAGTCGGTAGTCTAGTAAAGTCTCGTAAAATCACTCATCCATAACAAAACAATGTAAACAATAGTCGTCCGTAGGTTTTTTTTTATGAATTACCGAATTCTATGTTTTAGAAATGAGACGATAAGATTTTTCTCTCATCCACCAGCTCTTTTTTCTTCTGTGTTTCTAAAGAAATTGCAAGATATCTGTAATTAAAAATAAAATTGATAAAAATAAGAATAACTTATAAATAACTTTTAACACTTTAATTTTTATATGATAATTTAGCTTTAATATGCCACTGTTATCTCAAGGAAATGTACATGATGACATCACACTTACCAGCAGGAGGAAGCTGTGGTTGGTTTTCTGGTTCCGGTGGTTCTTTAAGAGTAGAGTTCTGTTTTGGATTTGATGCTGAAGTACAACATTTATGGTTTGTCAAATACAGACAATAAATCGAAAGAACTATTCGATCTAGCGACGATATTAGAGAAAAAATGGCTACATATTAACATGTGTCACAGTTTTTCATATACATAAAAAAAACACTTAATGTTCTCCAAACAAAGCAAGGTCCCCGGTTTTTATTTGATTTCCATTTCTGAATATATATCTTTTTCTGATAGTATAAGCGACCTTCACGCAGAGATACCATACTGTAATATTTACAAACATTTTGTATTCACGATGGTTTTTCCTTATCGTTATCGAAACAAGCCTTAATTTATTTCTACAATATTTACTATATTTATACTTCTGTGAGTTACAACAATTGCATGTGTATGTAACTTTAAGCATTCTATGATATATGATTCTCCCTCCCGTTTCATTTACCATTGGTTACAAACATTTTTCTGACATATTTATACAAGTGGTGTCACCCATTTCAGATGCTTTCCGAGAAGTTGTCTCACAAAATATATAGCATATCCATGTTTTTTACTTTTTTTTTTTTTTTTTTTTACATATCTCAACTTACGCTGGGGAGAAGTTCTACTAAGGGCATCAATCTTTTTTCGTCTTCGATGGCGATAAATTACCACTAGACCAGCTACTACAGCCACGACAAGAAGTGTACTGAAAACGCTTGAAACCGTTATCATTAATCTGAAAAAATAGATCAAATTAATTAAACTTCAGCCCAATTTTAAAAATGTATTTGAATAACATGAATTCATAAAATGTTTCCCTTGTATTAAGGTGTAAATATGTTGTTTTATGACCTTTGACATACAACACAATTACCTGGTAAGTCCAGTGCTTCTCCAATAGAAACATTCCGATTTGAAATATATTTTTAAACGTGTCAATATTGTTATTTCTTTATTTCATTTACTTCATTTTTATTTATTTATTTATTTATTTTATTCTTTAAAATTATCTATTTAATTGCTCATTCATAGCTATTATTTCTTATTCTTTTGTATTGAAAGGTGTCATTCTTGTAAAATTCTCCGAGATGTACTTGTCTGATGAACTACAAGGTAGCGAGGCTTATTTTTACATGCACTTTTAGCAAGCACTTGCCATTTGCTATATTTTAAAATAAAAGGCTTTACGAAAGATTGCAAAAGTGGCCTTCCCATCAAAATCTATCTCAAACAATTCTGTTTTTTCTAAGTCTCTTCATCGATTTCAATGTTTTAGGCCCTTAGCATCACTGCCAAGTCCAAGGAGAAAATAATCTGCACACATTTTTGAATAAATCAAATAAGCGACAAAGGTCGAGATGTGATATGCATTGCGTCATTCATCTGTAACAGAGAAGCATAAGAAGTTTCTTGTAGGATAACCAAGCCAAACTTAAACATCACGCGGGTAGAGATGTTTGTGTACGCGGAACAGTCCCATGTAATGCCACAGGAACCAAATTGGAAGTCACAAAAATCCTTGCATTGGATGCAGCATTAAAAGTTTGAAATACCAGTGAATTATAAACATCTAGTATTATCAACATGACAACGTAATCATTTTCTAAACTCAAATTCCATAAAACTATAGGGAAAATCATGGAGTGAAGAATGATTTACACGGAGACTCCTGAAAAAGTACAAGGATAATAAGACCAGGTGTTTCGGAAGAGTAAGCGTCTTCTGCTTCATCGGCGATAGTCACCATGTAAACCTTTGTGAATCTAAGCAAGTAATGTCACATTCTCAAAAGAGAACAGGATAAACAACAGCGGAACAAGTAACTAACGAGCATCAAACACGTCCAGCATCATATCACACAAAGAAATAGGATATTTCTCAGTGTAATCACTATGGTCACCATAAAACTTCCACACATTTTCATCAGACTGTTTTGAACGAAAATTTAATTAATGCAGTAGCATTTTCATAATAATACCTTTTTATATGTTGTTTATTAGTTAGAAATTAAAAGTAAACAAGCGAGA